TCTGAGCAGCACCAGTACTAAAACATGTGTGTGTGAAAGCATCCTGCACTTSAGGAGACACCCCGTGAATGTCACTAATATTTCTGTAGTGTGCTAGGTACATTCAGGAGTCTAAAACATACCAGCCCTGTGTGCTGTGAGCCCCCCAGCACGTACAGCACAGAAAGGGRTTCTTGTGAGGCAGATCAAATCAGAGAGCTGCTAGTAAAGCTGGTAAAAAGTCTCAGTAAATGGCTCTTGGAAGTGAACCCTTGTATAGTCTTTGGATGAATAAAATGGCAACAATCCTCCCTGGCATGTCATGTGTGTGCTGTTAAAGCAGCGTTTTTCAGTGTTGGTGCAGTCAGTGGCCTCAGAACAGAGGGAGCTTTTCTTCAGTTCCCAGTCACGTTGCTGCTCCCTGTATATTTTATTTAGCACTGTTTGAATCTCAGAGAATGGCCTGGGAGAATAACTTGYCCCATGTCCATTAGTAAACAACATGAGTCCTGCACATCCTTCAYTCACTTCAATGCTGTGAGCATGCATCTCAGCCAAAGCTGTCACTTACAAATACTCATACTGCACACCAATAAAATAAATCCTTGCAACAATAATGAGACGTGGAGCACTTGTTACTCTCCTGAGCCATTCAAGGTAATTGGTCACGAGGGAAATAGGTTTGGGCTGTGTTTAAATAGGGTGTGGCTCTGTTTAAAATGCTGTTTATGGATGCCAAGCAGCCCACTTGTCTGAAAGCATCTGGTTCTGCTGGTGCAGTTGAGCAAGAGCTGGAATTGGTGGCGTTAGCCCGGGTCTGTTCTGCTGCCATCAGGGGAAGGTGACATTTGGGACAGGGTCACCATCTAGTGGCTGTCCCCGATAAAGGACAGGGCTGGATTGAACCAGGGCATTTGATGCCTTTGCTTTTTGGTTGGGAGAAACTGAACACACATGTGTGTGCCTGCTTGACATTATTTGGTAATTTTGGTAGCCTTTTCATGGGTTGTTTCCTAATTTTGGTAGCCTTTTCATATGTTGTTTCCTAATTTTGGTAGCCTTTTCATATGTTGTTTCCTAATTTTGGTAGCCTTTTCATGTATTGTTTTCTTCCCTCAGCTTGGCAAGTGCATGTCTTAATCTCTCAGTGCCTGTTTTTCTGCCCTGTGACTTGTGAAAAGAATGCATTCTGCCATCTCAGATGGAAAATCAACGTCCTGTTCTGCTCCATATCTTGCCTTTAGGCCTATTCTYCCTGTGAACCCTTGAGAAAATACCACAGAGTAGTAATGAGTTAAAGAGTCCTTGAGTTAGATATGTATGCAAATGGGCAAATAAAAGGTCATGTAGGTCCTTTTTCTCCTATGCCCATTCCGACTCTTTTGCCTTTATAGAACCTCATCCAGTGACATTTGGAAAAGGTGTAAATGATTTTTGCCTGTATTTGTGTGTATACATGCACCTGCAGACAGTTTGTTCCACACTAGAGGTACCAGGGAAACACAAACCATTAGCTGWGGGCACTGCACTACTCCTGGCAAATCTGGTCCATCTCTGTTTTCCTAACCAGCAAGCTAGTTTACATTTAAAAAAAAAATAAAACCAAACAAAAAAAAAACACAAAATGGCAGGAAAAAGATATAAATACACAAATCATTCATGATACATTCTTAGATAGTTTTTCTTGAGTGCTCAAACACAGCAAGTTATTATTTTAATTTTTTTTTAGAGTGTCATCTAAATGCCTGGTTTCCTTCCTTTCACGAGGGGATGTTTTCTCCCTCAATTTTTTAATCATGTCAAATGTTGAGAAGCAGTGCATGTGTTTTCTCCTCTTTGTATCATGGCATGGCTGCCATGCTTATCTTATCAAGATTTATATCCTTGTCTAATTTAGCTTTTCATAAATAATTACAAATCCTGCATGAGACCTTGCCAACTGCTCCAGTCCCACAAAGTGACCTGACCTGAAACCCCAAAGTACTGAGAAACATTCATCTCAAGACTATTTTCATAGGCAGCACTTCAAAGGAATTGTGGTTTAAAAATATGCAGCTATTTTGGTGACCACTTGTGTGGGATAAAGTTTCTCATCAGTAATAGCAGGACTGTAATGGAGCTTCAAGGAGAAGGGAGGAGCTCAGGAGAGCWGCCCCAGCACCTTTTGCCTCATTTGCTCAAGAAGCAGAAGTGGGAGTAAAAGTTGACATCATTAACTTAACATGGACTGAATTTGCCACAGAAATGCTGTAAATTTGACATGATTTGCAGAGGGTGAGAAGTTCTTCTGGCTGGTATGCATGGCCCTGCTCAGTCAGGAGCAAAATGATCTTTATTTTCTGGCCAGGGGTGAAGAGTGGCCCATATAAATGGGGATGGAGGTCTGGAGGGGCAAAGACAGGGACTGGGAACTGCACAAGTGTGGAGCTTTAGGGAGCTGAAAATACAAGTGCAACAACAACCTCAGCACTCCTGTCCATCCAGCATTTCTCTCCAGTGGTTCAGATGCATCCAATCCTCATGGGATGGGAATTTCACCTCCCAAATCACAGGTGATAGACTTGAGCTGGAATATCCTCTGCTCCTTGGCTAACAGCTTGATTTTTCCTTTCATATGGGAAAAATGAGGCAAAGTGGGTTCTTTGTTCATTTYGAGCTCTTCAGTAAAGCGAGAAAAGTTATCACTGAGGTGATAAAGGCAACTTCTCTAAAGAACAGAGGGCTTGAGCCATTTACARAAGGTTTGAAGTGACAGCCCACACTAAGGTTTGGCATGGCATTTGGAGGTAAATTTGCTGGGATGGTTGTTCTCCAATTTTACTGGGGAGCAATAATACTAAAATACAGACCCTTCTACTWGTTTGCAAGGGTATAATTAATTAAWATTGGAATGCTCTTACGTGCTARTGGGGATATGCATTTTGAATGTTTGATGAAGCTGTTGATTAGTCCACAAATCAAAGTTTCTGTCYGATGTGGCTGTGGTACCCTTAACTCAAAGTTGAAGAGTGACAAGGTAGCAGTGAAATACATGAAGAAAATGGTGGCTTTTGTCAGCAGCTGAGAATATGCCTGTGATCTTATGCTAACTGTGTTCTGATTTGGAAACCCTAGCATTTTGTAATGCTGCCTTTTAGTATATTTCTTATTGTCAATAAGATACAAGATTGCTTTGTTGGTTTTAGAAGGGCTGGGCCAACACCTGTTTTTTCAGTTTCAGTGKATCAGATGCAGCAGATGAACATAAGACTTTTGACACTCTCTGGTATAGGCTCCAGTGTTAGTGAGCTCTCCTTGAATTCATAAAGCCTTAGGGAATTGTGTTCTTTCTCTGTTCTTTCTCCCTGACCTTTGGAGAGTCTGTTTTCTGTAGCTTTGTAGGTTGTGGTGATTGGGGGCAGCAAGTGGATTTTAATTCTGTAGTTATTTCCAGTCCTCAAGCACATAGTCCAGTAGAGCTACTAAAGTTAGAAGAGGAGAGTAAATTGCAGTCAGAACAACTTGTTAAATAGACGAATCAATAAAATTGCTTTTACTGCCACTGGGAAATAAAGGTTAAAAAAAAGTTTTACACTCAATGAAAGAAGGTTTTGTTGATTCTTTGAATCGAAGCCAGGACTGTCTTACCTAGTATAAAATTTCTTTGACAAGTCTGGCTGAAGCACAGGATATAAATCAGAGCAGAGTGGATTTGTCTTCATTTCACACCACCCTTGTGGAACAAGGTCCAGGAACTGGTGTATAAAACCAGMCCTATCTGTTCCTCTGATTATTCAGAATGCTAGGAGAAGCTTTTTCCCTCCTTAGTTGGTTCTAGGTAGTGAAAAAAACCTTAGCCTTCTCTTTTTCTTATTTCCTCCAGTGGGCTTCTGCAGATGTTTGAAACCTAAATAAGCTAAGGCACAACAAGATGCTTGTTTAATATCTACATATTCTGCAAATTGTACCCCTGAACTTTGCTGCTGTTGTTTGCTGTAATGCAAATAGCTCCCTGCATTTTCCTGCATCCACCTCTTTGTCTCCCTTCTGTGCCTCCCTGCTTTTTGTTGGTTTTCTGTGATGGATTAAGAAGAATAATGCCTGCCCTGTCCCTAAGCTTTGCTCCTCTACGGAGATGAGCAGGTAATGGTAGAACCAAAGAGGATCAGTAGAACAGTTTTTACAATTTTCTTTTGTGTGTATGTGGAATGCTCCAAAAATAGATGAGCACTTCATTAAGGCCGTCTGTGAACTGCCCATTAGATCAAAATGACAAAAATCGGTATCTATGGGATGTGAAACTCCCTATCCACGATGGGTTGGGMTCAGGTGACATTGCTGTGGTGGATGTGGGGTACAGAGGTGACAYCTGTGTCACAACCTGCCCTTGGTACCCACGAGGAAATGCAGCAGTGTGTACAAGGTCTGATGGGTCAGCTTTGGTTCCAGGTCACATCTGCCTGCTCTGGAGGCTTTCACTGGCCATTGATGGTTGCTGAATAATCTGCTTTTGCACAGTAGCTGTTTGTTCACGGGAACTTTTGTTGGTTTTGTGGTACCTCAAAGGTACAATTGTAGCRAAATCCCCAGATATAGGATATTCTAGTGCACTGTATTGTGGTTTTGTGTTTATTGGGAAACAGAAGCTAYRCTGGGCACATAAAGAGCAATTTAAAAGCAGTGTCCTATTGAACATCATTGTGTATATTGAGAGTTAATACATTGCAAACTTCATCACTTTGGCTTAGTGCAAAAATTTTAATCAGTCTTGGTCCCAGCTACAGTCTGCATTGCAGATTTCAATGAGATTTAACCACAAATAGTGCTTGTTCCTGTTCTTCACAAAGAAGTGGATTTCCTCTAAATAAATACCTGCTTTGGCATCCCATTTTACATGCCTTCACTSTGTGGAGATTTAGAATAAATTGAGATGAAGGTTGACTTGGAGTTTTGTTTATTTGACAGGATAATTATTTAACAGTTTAGGGTTTGGGTTTTTTTTAAGTGGAGGATATGGCATAAATGTTGGGTAAAGTTGTCTATAATTTGCTGTATTTTTTCCCTTTATGACAGTGATCCGAGCTAAAGTGGTGGGGAAGAAGCTGATGAAAGATGGGCCGTTTGGAACGATGCGCTACACGGTCAAGCAGATGAAGGTATGKTTGCAGTCATTTCACAAAGGCTGTMCATATGATAAAGAATTGAATCAGCATGAAGTTACAAACACTTTCATACTTAACAGCCCCTCAGGTTTTTCTCCTGGCTATACAAAGTGGAAGGAAACCAGCAGTTGGTGGAAATTTGCCTGAAGAGGGGAAAGGAGCAGGAAGAGATCATTGCTGACACACAGTGCTGAATGCCTGAATTCTTCCATTATTTTAATGTTTGTGGTGGTAAAAGACACCAGATGGATTTCTCTAGGTGCTCAAGTTGTGTTGGAGCTCAGCATGCACCATGTTAGACTGAAACTCCAGCTTTTCCATGCAGCCCTTTCATGAAATCCAAGAAGGAAATTATGGTAGGGGTCTGCCAGCTTTGGGAGAATGCACTTTTTTCTCTTCTTTCCATGCATTCTTTGTGACCAGCAGTTAGGATGATGGCATTTTTTCCACRTACAGAACAAATGAAAATTATATAGTGCAGTCTTTATATAAAGCTAAATGGAGCACTGTAGCTTTTAAATATTGTCAGCTCAGAAGAGCTGTAAAGTATTGATTCAGAGATTAAAAGAGGCAGAACTACACCAATTGCGTGATTTCTTTAGTACCTTTCTTCAGACCTCTAATTCTTTCCTGCATAAACTGTACTCAACCTGCTGCTTTGGACTTAGATTTTTTTTCATAAACTGCCCCCTTGTTATGTAATGCTAAAAATCAGCCCTAGATTGTTTTTCTTGGCAATGCCATTCCAGTCATAAGACTGGTTTATGTCTTTAGGGAAAAAAAAAAAAAAAAGAAAAAAGAAAGGGAATGGAAAAGCTTGGCAGAGACTGCAGAAATCTGAAACATATTAGACAAAGTAAAGGTTTAGAAAAAACCAGTCACTTGCCTGCCTTGTAACAGTAAGTCTCTTTATAAGGCAGTTTATAGCTAAGCACGACAGCAGGGAGGAGGAGACGCAAAGCCTGTTTCATAAGCTGTCCCAAAACCATGCACTGAGCCAAATCTGCTCCTGGCATGGCTCTTCCACAAGAGTGGAATGCCTGCACTTTGAATAACAGGGATGAGGTGCTGGGCTTATTAACTTCCTTTACCTTCAAAATTGCTCTGTAAGATTCCAAAGGAGATACATATTTGCAAAAAAAAAAAAAAAAAAAATTAAAAAGACCAATGAACTGGTTATATTGGCAACAATAAGAAAACACTGCCACTGTTTTTTTTGGTTTTTTTTATGGCTGTCAGCCTCATCAGGCTCACAGCACTCTGTGCTGTTTTTCTCCAGTTTTGTGACTCCTCAGCTCAGCGTGTGTACCCTGTACCTTCAGTGCCCACAGGCTGCAGTGGCTTCATCAGCCTCTCTTTCTGATTTCATCCTGCTCTGTCCAGCGCCACCACTTCTCCTTCTCAAGAGTTTGATGCTTCCTGTCTAACATATGACCATGGACAGGGTGCAGCAGTGATCTAAGAACAATGGTAGTCCCTAAAATTAATTACTACCCTTTAGATGCCACAACACTAGSCCCTCTTCTAACTAAATAAGAAATCTGAGCCTGTGCTGGCTGTTTTCTTTGGGTTATTCTGCAGCACTGGGCCTTTCTTCTGGAGCATTTCTACAGTGTTTTGTTAGGAAGCTGTGTGTCCAACAAAAGCAGGAGGGATTTTAAAGAGGAAATCATGTGTTGGTSACACTGCCCTTGTGTCTGCTGCTGAGATGGTGGTGGGATGTGGCACTGGRTGTTTAACTGTGACCTTTGCAGGAAGGAACCTGAAGCAAAGTGCTCAGTACAACTGGAATGTCCGGAGGACATAGTTCTTCATAAACAAACCACAGACCAAGTGTCTTCTTTGGAAACCCTGCTGTCTTTCTGCTGAACTTAGAGACTTCAGTATAAAGAGGGATTTAGATCCATTCAGTGGGGCAGTTCACAGTGTGCAGCAAATTTCTCCCTTGTTTGCTGCAGTGAAAGCTGAMTGTCCTCCTGCTGAAAAGAGAGCTGAGGAGTCCTTTGGCTCTGCACAGCTGCATGGGAATAACTCTGAAGATAAAATAACATGTCAGTCTGCATAAACTCCTCTGCACGTGCAGGTAGAAAATAAACAAGGCTTTTAGTCTGTCAGGGTGTGCCGATCCTGGTATTTCCACTGCTGTCAGTGAATTGCCTGTGGAAAGCCCTGAAAGCCTTAAACAATCTCTGCACTTCTTTCAGGGGCTCCTTGGAGTTTGCCAGGTTAGATTCTTGGTCTCACTAACATTCCTGAACTCGTGCAGCATTTCACTAAAGYAGCTTGGGGACACAGCAGTGCCAGGCTTTCCAGCACTCAGGTTTGCTGTCTGAAAAGGTCTCTGCTTCTTCAAACAACTTCTGCCTCCCCCCCGCTGCTTTCTTAAATAYAAGAACACTTTGAGCTCACATGTCATAAATCTGCACAGGACTGATCTAACCCCTCCATGTTCTGTGATCCTGCAGWGCATTCTGAGAATGGCCCCAGCCTATTTCAGGAAACTGCAAAGGAAACAAGGAGATAAGATATTTCTCCTCCATGTGCAAACAGTCCTGGTTGGCCATGGCAGCACTCTGCACAGGCTGCCAGAAGCAAGGAGACTTCCCTTGGTTTGTTGCTTATCTGTAAAATGAGTCTACRGGGGGAAATGTGATAGTCCCAAGAGGAAAGAAGTGGGGTAGGATTAATTTAGTTTAATTTTAGACAGACTAAAATGAGGTGTTGAGTCTTTCCTGCTGCCTTGATTGTCAATGGATAGAGACAGGAGCCACCAAAGTGTAATTCAGCCCACAAGTTGCAGACAGATATTTTAGGATGGGCTGAGTTGTTCTGGAGGTGTCTGTTTTTGGCATTTGACTGGAGGGGATGTTAATTGGTGTGAATTGCCTGTATTTTAGGAGCTGAAGGTTAGGCAAGGTGTGACTCCGAGCTCTTGGGATCTAGTACAGCTTCTCATGGGCGGGACAGAGGGAGGAACACCATGAACAGTTTTCCAGGGTGAAGTTGTTTGAGCAGCAGGAGCCACTGCAGGGTTTGCTGTGCATTTCTGAGGCAGTGTGAATGCAAGGGGAACGCAGCACAGATGGAAATAGAGCTGCACTAGCAGACATCACCATGCCATGCTTGCTGATACTTTGTGCATTATTATATTGCCAAAAATACACTTTTGTGGGGACAGGAAATCACCAAGGGTGTTATCTTAGCTGTTCTTATCTCCTTAGATAGCGTTATCCAGATCCTGGTGTGACAGCCACTAGAAGGGGGTCTGGACACGACCTTTGTTCTGTGTGCCTTTCCTCACACCAGCCTTGGGAGGCAAAAAACAAAAGTGTCTGAGGGCTAAATAACTCACCCAAGGGCAGACAGGATGCTTGTGCCAGAATCTCAATCTCCAGCTATTCTGACTGCGATAGGAAAACATGAGTAGGTCATCTGATACCAAGAAAACTGCAGGGATAAAGCRGAGATTAGGTAAAGTTCACTTCTTCCATAGCCATTGAAAGGTTTTGGCCACGTATGGACACAATGTTCTRTTTCAAGCATGATCTAAGAGTTTTCATTGCTACAGTATGATTAATTAAAGAAAATATTTGCCTTGCCTATTAGCTGGGTGTAGAAGAAAGGCTGGAAAATGCAAACTCTTCAGAATGTCTTTTACTGTACACAGCAGTGCTGTTACTGAGTTGTGATTGACATTCTGTAGATGCTCCAAAGATAATCTGGCCTCTCAGCGTMGCAGGATTAGTATTCATTTTTTATGGTTTTATATGGAAGATTTGGGCCTAGCATTAAATCTGTTCAATTAACAGATGTCCTTTCAGAAAGAAAACAATGTGTTGTTTTTAAAGAAGATGGGGGCATGGTGAAATACCCTGGGATAATAGGGGACTTCAAGAGCTAGAATGCAGCCTGGAGAAGAACACTACAGCTTAGGTGACACAGCAGCAAGGATCTGTAGCTCTGGGGTCATTTGGGATTTTCTGGTCCTCTTCYGCCTCACATTAATATTTACTCCTAAACTGAATGTGAATGTGTTGTCTATCAATAAAGCCAAGAGAGAAAAGGATAGGCTGGGAAATGCCAGGAAACTCTGATTCTCTCTGGCTTCTATTGTTTCTTTAACTACTAAATATTTGCCATTCACGGAGCTGGCRGGGAGAAGAGAGTGACTGAATGCTTCGAAAGGAAAATTTTAAAGCTTAAACTCTCAGGGAAATCATCTCCTGTGTTTCAAAATTAGGATATGTTTGATGGTGCAGTGCTATGTAAAGACTCCATTATGGTGCTAACAGGTGAGCAGGAGTTTCTGTAAAATGCAGCAGTGAGGCCAGGTCAGATGGGGACATGTGCTGATTTCTGACTGGATCCAAGTGCAGTGTATCTGTGGGCTCATGTTGCCATTAAACCGAGCTGGAAGAGAGACTATGAAGAAGGAGAAGGAGTGCAGAGCAATTATGTACACATGRTATTTTCTTTATGGCGCCCATCAGGACGGGGCTAATTTTAGAAGATGGTGTAGAATTCTATGTCTGCATTCATTGAGTTAGAGAAACATTCAGTCTTGCTGAGGTCAGCAGAAGTTTGTGTGTTTGAGAAGGAGGTGCCTGGCTTGATGACTTCAATCGAGCGCCAAAGGTTTGAAACTCTTACAGCAGCAACACTGGAAAATAGGCTARTTGTTTAAAAGAAAAACCCTTAGTTTGGAAGAAACTGCTTAAATCACATAGAGGAGAAAGATTCCAAGCTTGAACTAATTTTATTTCTCCCTAATTATGACCTCTATAAGGGAAAAAAATTGTCAGGWTGTTGGCAGAGCTTGCAGCGTTGGCACTTTGTTCACTCAGTGCCACTGGAACTAATATGAATGGGAAAAAACTGCTCCCTGTGCTGAATTGCAATGGCTCGTTAGCAGGTGRTTTTTCTGCTTTACCAGCAGATCTACCAGGGAGTCTTCCATTAATCCAGCCAGTGTCATTATTACCTCACTCTTGTAAAAATCAGAAAATTTAGTTTTGCTTACCACCACAAACTAGGAATGTGAATTGTAAAGAATCTTCAGTGAAATTTGTCCTCTTAAGATGACTTAAAGCATTTTTATTGTTTCTCCAGATGTACAGGGGCTTCCAGATAATGCCACACGTGCAGTACATCTACACAGAAGCGTCTGAGAGTCTTTGTGGAGTCAAGCTGGAGGTCAACAAGTACCAATATCTGATTACAGGTAAAGGACCCTGTACTTCTCCATAAGCAAAACCTCTTCTGTTCTGTACATCCACCTGCTGAGGACATGGGCAGTGGTGCAGACAGCTTTGTAGATGMTTTTCTACATGAAAATCTACATGTAGATGATTTTCAGTGTTAGGATGGCCAGCAATATTCTGGAGTTCACTACTCCACAATGCTGAGTCCTTTCACTCCCTAGATCCCCCCTCTCTTTCCTAAAGTGGATCTGCTGCCCAGGCATGCTGTGACTGTTGTATGACAGTGCACAGCTCCTGATTTATCCCTGAGCTGGTGTGTCTGTCACAGGGAGCTGGTGCTGCTGGGCTGTGTCAGAAATGGGAGTTCATTTTAGGAAGGAGCTGCAGAAATGCMGGCTGCTGGGATGAGGGATGCAAGGGGATGGACATGTGGCAGTTGCCAAGTCCTGTTTCTAATGAAAAAAAAAAAAAAAGCTGGCTCATAATTTTACAGTATATGTCTATTTGTTCCAATAAAAGAAGGAAAGAGAGTAGGAAGGCAATTTTCCCCATGGCTAAAACACACACCAGTTTTTAGCTGAATGCTCCCTTCCCCCAGAAATGTGAAGTGTAAATAAAAAAAAAGTCGTTTTGTCTTTCTGGCTCAAAATGAAGTCACAATTTTTCATTATAACAGAAAAATGTATTAAAAATGTCCTGTTTCTAATGAAGGTGTCAGTTCATTTATTCTGTTGTTAGGAGGAGTTTGACAGCATTTCTAACCTGCACGTTGCCAGTGGTGCTTACAGCYGGCACAGTGCTCCTGCCTTTCACAAGTGCTGTTATCTCACTGCCACRGATTCCTGAACCAGTTCATAAAAACAAAGCACTTGCTGGGCAGCAGCTGCAGCCAAACATATTGAGAGCATTAGCAATCTGAGGAAAGGAGAGAAGTGCTAACTTGTGACCGTGTGTCTGTTTTCCAGGCCGGGTGTACGAGGGGAAGGTTTACACTGGGCTGTGTAATTGGTACGAGAAATGGGACCGTCTGACGCTGTCCCAGCGCAAAGGACTGAACCATCGCTACCACCTGGGCTGTGGCTGCAAGGTTTGTGTGCCTCCAACGTGGAATTCACACCTTCAAACCCAAGAACCCTTTGCCCCTGGCTGGTAATGCTCAGTCATGCTGGAGAACAACCAGGAAGAGAAATGGAGGACAATTTTTACAGAGACGTAGTACAGCTCATTTTTAGTGTTGAGACCAGAGAAGGGACAGTCAAATAAAAATGCAGAGTSTCTGCCTTTAATAGCGTGTTGGAGTTAATTGAGATTGGGGAAGGCTTTCAGAATCCATGCAGAATCATTTGCAGGTGAATGAAATCAGGTACCAAGGGCTTGGCAAGATATGCCCACCTTTTTTCCTGTGTAAACATTTTGAGTACTTAAAACCTCACAGYCTGGCACTGGAACTAAGACTTTTGCACATGGCCTCAGGCCTGCAAAAACATAGACATAAGCTCAACTTTTCTGCACCTGAAAAGCCCTTTTGAGTGYGGAATTAGCTGTGTGTGTGAAGCTAAGCACATGCTTATGTGCTTACAGAACTGAGGCTGAATTTTGGATTAGTAAGCAAGGTTTGAGGGAGTGGAATTTCGAATCACTTGACTCTGTTCAAAAGACATTTTATATAATGTTGTTTTTCCATGTGGCCKTAGCTGATTTCTCTTTCCAATTGCAGATTAGGCCCTGCTACTATTTGCCCTGCTTTGCCACCTCCAAGAACGAGTGCATTTGGACAGACATGCTCTCCAACTTYGGCCACTCAGGGTACCAAGCCAAGCACTACGCCTGCATCCAGAGGGTGGAAGGTTACTGCAGCTGGTACAGAGGATGGGCACCTCCAGACAAAACCATCATCAATGCCACAGATCCCTGAGCAGCTGGCCCTTTCCTCACCTCCCTTCTCCTTACTTGTGGCTGATCTTCCTTTGGACACTAACTCTTACCAGATCATGATGATGACAATGAAATTAGTGCCTATTTTCATGCAAATTCTAGCACTTCGAACACTTAAAAAAGGAAAAAAAAAAAAAAAAAAAAAAGGAAAGGAGAGAAAAAAGTCTGTCCTACCTTACTGAATTTGTAATTACCTTTTCCATTTTTTGATACCACTCATTTGATCAGACAACATTTTGGAGCTTACTTTTGCACACCAGAGGGAAAAATGGGAGGGGGAAAAAAWAGATAGAGCTCTTGCTCTCTTACACGTATCATTAGCTGTAGCAATATAATCTCTATTTTTTTAGGAAAACAAAAATCTAAAAACTATGCCAATTAGGCACTGTATTCTTCTATGTGCTGGCTTCCTATCACCCTTCCTCATGCACTAAGTGCTGAAAATACATAGACAAATCTATTTCAAGGGAAACAGATTTCATTGATCAGATTAATCAGGCAAATGAAGCAAAATGGAAAGAAACCCAGCCTACACTCTGGACAAAATGGCATCTGARAGAAATCTTCCTCTATTAGAAAGATTGCAATGTGATTGATTGCAGCAGTGGGAGACTTTACCTGGTGTGTCTGAGCACATCCTCTGCTAAAAGCATTGCTGACTGACTGCTCTTGCTAAGTCAGTCACAGTGTGAATGCACATTTGAAGTTCTGGCTTTCCCCAGAATAAAAAGAGAGAGTATATAGTATTTTTGTTGTTGTTTCAAAAACAAAAGGCCTATCCCCTGTTTTCAGGGAGGTAAATGCAACTACAGCAGAGCAGATGAAGGGTTGTGGCTTCCTGTTTTGAGCAGCATTGGCCCCTGAATTTTTTGCAGCTTAGCTTCAACAGCAAAACCAGCGTGAGAACACCTTAAACCAAACAGATGCAAAAATAACAACTGTAAATCAATCAGGTGCAAGAGGGAAAGGGGAGACTTGCTAGAACTCTTACTATTAAAAAAATATATTGCCAAAATAGTGTTTTGCTGAAGTAAGATGTATATACAYGTAATGACATAAGCTATTTTTGACAGGACGTGGATTTTTTTGGTGTTATAAACAAAAGAATGGTTTGATTGTGTTTTGAAGACAGAAATATTGACATTCCGAGTCGGTGAGTTGCTTTGAAGCYATGGAAGCTCCAGTGTATCTGCAGTATTGCAATGGTCAGTGTTTCCTCTGTAACTCCACGTTCCTCCCCTGCCCCTACAATAGCTGTGTTTGTTTGTACAGTGAAAGGAAATGTGTGTGGGCTGGGCAAGGAAAGTGTCTCCTAACAAGTGTTGTCTGGGATCATCAAGTTTTCAGCTGCCCAGAGGATTCTCCTGTGTCAAGTGCTGTGTTTCGTAGCCCTATGCATGTGCTCATCCCATGTCCTGCACTCCTGTGGGAGGAGAAGCCTTACTGTTTGTGCTTTGCTGTTGACTGGAGAAGTTTTTTTTTTTTTTCATTCTATTTTGGTTTTTTTTTATTATTAAGAAAACTATAATATAATTTTTCTTATCAAATAAAAGTATTTTAAGTTGTAATGATGGTGGAGAAGGGGTGTTGACAAAATGGGTGACYGAGTTTTGGATGGGGAGGGCTTGGGCAGGGAGAAGATTGTGTTTAACTTCATTTTTGTATTATTATGATTATTTATCTTAAGTTTCCATATATCTTCTGTTCATTCCACTTCGAAAGCAGAGCTGCCACCAMCAGGAAAAAGTTTTTGCAGTGACTTCAGCTTGGGGCAATACAGCATTTTACTGTCAGTGGCCTCAGTTACTGGAGAATTGTTTGAAACCTCTTTGCCAAATGGAAAAGAAAGGGTGCCTGAGATGGGCCCTGATGTGTTTTGTGTCCCTTGCATGCCACCAGAGCTCTGCCAGATGTGCATCCTTTGAAATGCCCCATTTGCTGAGTGACTTGTTGCAGCAAAAAGCTTCATTTAGCCTGAACTTTAAAGGGCATTGGCAGAGTCGATGGCAGAGCTGCCTAGGGCTGCTGCTGGTGGTGTATTTTTTTCCCCAGCAGCTCTGAGTGGCGATGTTGCACAAAATACACTGAAAGTCTATTGGATTTTCCTGTGATTCAGACTTTGAACACTCCTCAGAAGTCCTCTTCCCTGTGACTGCCCTGAATTGTGGGCTGGAGATGAGAGGGACAGTAGAGTGTCACAGGATCAGGTGRTGGTTCAGAATGTTGTTCCTTTTGGTAAAATCCAGGTTTGGGCTTTGTGCCCAGTGGAACAATCTCTGTCTGAGTTGTGCTGACACAGCCTGTGCCAGTCCCTGAGGGCAGAATGGAGCCCCCCTCACTCTGCACTCTTTGGAGAGGGCATTGCTGGAGATGGCCCTCCCCAGCTCCAGTGACATGGCAAAGCCAGCGTCCCTTGGAGCTGCAGCCACTCCTCATGGCTTGGGAAGGCTGAATGAAAATGCCCCTCCATGCAGTAAAGGGTTGGTTTGAATTTGCAGTAAACTGCAGCTCTGCTTATTTTACCTGTCACTGATTCATTTTGCTAGCTGAGACATCACAGTATTGCACTCAATTATTGTGAAAATATTTGCATTCTAATACTATGAGGACTTGTGTCCCTAAGTAGGATATAATGTAGCTATGTGCTTTGTAAACAACAAAACAGCAGATGCATTACCAGAAAATGAAGCATATTCCCATTTTGTTTTGCAGATGGTAAAATATTTCTGAGGTGCAGACAGCTAGACTGGCAGGGCTGGAGGCAAATCTTGGTGGCAAATCTTTGCCCTTGCTGTGTAAAGAAACAGTTGTTAAGGCTTTTCAAAATGTGGAGCCAAAAGGAGGGGGAAAAATCCAGTGAAAATACATTTCTTTTGGGAAGCTTCTTTGTTTTGTTTCTGTGCATGCTATCAGGGACATGCATTTCTTGGGCTAAGCCTCAGCCTGTGCTTGCATTAAGGACCTGCCTGAAGGCATCCCTCGAGTGGAA